GGGTCAGATTCGAGCACTATTCTTCCTGGCGACCCAGAGTTGTGGAAGCGTAGTGTCAAAGGTGGCGCAAGGGTTGCATTTACGTATTCGGGACCAGTCAGGATCCCTGGGTTGCTATGACTGGCGCCAGTTGCTGCAGGACCTCGTCTAGTGCTGCAATGAGGAGGTATGTTTCATATAATTGTAACATATATTGTTTTTAATCATTATCACCTAATATTGTTCTATGTTTGTCAATTGTTGAATAATTTCAGATAGATGCGTTGAAAGATAAGCTGGCGGACTATGAGCAGCAACCGGAGGAAGAATATAGAAAGAGGGAAGAAGTGGAACGCACACAGAAGGAGCAAGCATATTAGATAGCTCAACAAGCAGTGGAGATACGTAGATAGAAGGAGTTGACGAAGCAATTCGAGGCATTCATGGCACAATACTGGGTTACAAACCCTCCCCCTCCCCCTCCCCCTCCTTCCCAATCTTAGGATATGTTGTTAGAACTGTTTGAACTTAGATATTACTTTTGTAATATAATTTACGATTTTATTGCAAACCAATTTTGTTTTAATTTTGCAATTTATTTTGAAAATCTAGGTAGGTGTATTGTACAGGAAATTGGGTCTTTTAAATTATTTTTAAAAATTAAAAATAAAATTTTGACAGATTATCGGCAAAAATTCCGTCGGAAAATTTATTTATTTATTTTAATTTCCTTCGGTAATCCGTTGGTAAAAGTGACGGTCGGTAATTCGCCGGAAACATAGGTCACCGGTAATCCGTGGTAAAAGCCGTTGGTAAAAGTGGTCGTTGGTAATCTGTTGGAAACATTGACTGTCGGTAATTTCTGGGAAATTCTTTCGGAAATGTAGCCATTGGGTAATCCGTTAGTGATATTGTTCGTCGGTAAATCCGTCGGAAATAGTAGCCGTAGGTGATATCCTTCGGTGATGCCTTTTCCCACAGTGTTTTTTCCGACGGTTCCGACTTTAGCGACCGATTACCAACGCTATTTTATTCGTTGGTGATAGTCCTTTGTTTTGTAGTGTTCTACGTACTTCTTCCTATGCCAATCATGGGTTTTTCTCCGTCAAAGACGTCTTTATAAACTTTACACATCTCTAATTAATTGTTCAACATTGGACAATAATAATGTAATCTTTGTGATTATGTTAATATAAATATCCATTCTACAAATATTATATTAAGATATAAACATAAACCAACAGCAAGAAATTAACAATTATTTCCTCTACTTCACATTTGTATTGCTTAGTTATTCAAAAAACCAAGTCTATGACATCTTTGATTTTTAGATGTTTTGGTGGTGGGGTAAACCACTTGGAAAATTGAAAACTTGTTAATAATGACAACACCTATGGCTATGATTGATACCAGGAGACCAAGACTTTTCAACCCTGAAGAATTTAGACCCTCTTCATATTTCCATCTTAAACATATTCCATCCTCCTACTCCTAGACTCTCTTTATCAAACTTCCATGGCTTCCACTTCTTCTTCTTCTTCTTCTTCTATCATAACTTCTCCCAGCAACTATGATGTATTTCTAAGTTTTAGAGGCTTAGATACTCGTGATTCCTTTACCCATCATCTTTATGAAGCGTTAATGTTTGCTATAATCTTTTAATTTTTTTGTCAATCTTTTGTTATCTTCTTGTCAAGATTAAGTAAGGGGAGGGGCAGTTTACCAAACGCTTATCCGGGTAAGCGCTTACCAAATCACATTACCTTACCGGATGAATATGACAAAAACCAAAAATCTTATCCGGTAAGAACGAGACAAGGAATAAGAGTCTTACCCGGTAAATGAAGACGACGACTCTTACCGCGGTAAGAGCTTATCGGGTAGATTATTGCATACGGTGTTCGTTTTTGTGAAGTAAATCTTACCCAGTAAGTAAGTAATAGTATTGAATTTTACGGGTAAACACTTTGCGGGAAAGTCTTTGGTAAACGGCCCCCAAGTGTTTTTGGTACATAGACCGGACGGAACATGACTGAACATGCAAGAGTGAGATAGCTAGGTGAAACAATTTTAATTTAACATGGATAACTTTTAATAAAACTTGTCTCATCTCTTTAATTTTTGTTTCATCTAATTTGATAAGGACAAAAATAAAACATTTCTGTCCAACCAAGTCTTGCCATGTTTTAGTCTAAATATCGCACCATACATACAAAAACAATTTTTTTGTTACGTTCTATCACATCTTGTGATGTTTTATCCCATCTTGTCCCACGTACCAAACAAACCTTAATCTTTGCGATCAGTAACTCATAGTTCATAACTTTCTTCTAGCAATATTAATAGATATTCGTTTTCAATTACAAAATCCAATTATTCATTGCATTTATTTGAAAAGTATTCAATTTACATCTTTTTATATGTTTTTTTAGGAGTTCTAAATAAATATGAGTTGAAATATAGAATTTTCTAATAAATATATAACAAAAAGTTAAGTGTCAAATAATTACATATTTGACTAAAGGGTTGGGTTTACGTGAGACCAGTTTGTTTTCGTGAGACCCGTAAGACCATACTTTTACACTTGAAACCTTACAGCAAAAACACTATGAAGGTAAAAAAAATCCAAACTTTCACAACAAAAACACTGTGAAGGTTACCTTTACAGCATTTTACTATGAAGTTTCAATTGTAAAAAAGTTGTCTCACAGATCTCACAAAAATAGGTTAGTCTCACATGATCCAAATCTTTATCAAATATTGGTGTTTAAAGAAACGATAATAGGTTAGTCTCACATGATCCAAATCTTTATCAAATATTGGTGTTTGAAGAAACGATAATAGGTTAGTCTCACATGATCATAATCTTTATCAAATATTGGTGTTTGAAGAAACGATAACATTGGAAAAATGATAAAGAGGAATAATGGTAAGTTTCTCCCAATTAAATTGTGGTCACTTCACACCACCTACATGGCCCACAGTCCTACACCACATGAAAATGTACAGGGTTTTTTGTCATTTAATTAAAAGTAAGATTGGACATTTAATGATAGAGTGACTTAGAGATTGGTCCGTCTAGTTTATGAAAATTATGACTAACGTTCTTAAACTCGAAAAATTATGGATTTGTTCTGGTGGTTGTCAATTTTTATAATTGGATTCCCTTTTTCTAACTTTGTTGACGATGACTTTATCAACTCAAGGATATTTAGGTCTTTTTACTTTTTCTTTTATTTTTTATTATAACCAAAAAAATATATTGAATCTTCTTCATCATGAAGAAGGATGAAGAACATACCAAATAAAAACTGTAGTCCGAATTCAAAATTATAAACATAAATCAAACTCAAACAAAACCTAAATTGCAAACATAAATCAACGTAGATAAAATCCCTAAATCAAATCTTAAAATCTTAAAACACTAAGGAGGCGTTTGGTTCGTAGAATGTAATTCAATGGAATTGCAATTCATCAAATGAATTTGACTTTGAGGGAATCGGATGGAATTTGACCATGTCTTGTAATTGCGTTTGGTTGCATGGAATTGGAATGGAATTCTTAACAAAATTGGAATTTTTTTTGTTTGATTCATGAAATTCAATTTTGGAATCGGAAATTAAATATCAATAAATGACCTTTTATGATTTTTTTTGTCATTTTTTTTAAAATTAAAATTACCATTAAACCAAATTACATTATTAACATCAGATAAAATTTGAAATTGTTCACTTATATTACTAATATCTGAAATTTAGATGAGGGCTAAGGAATTTGTAAGAAAGGAATTTGAAATCCTTGGTATATCAAGTGGAATTGTGAAATCGTTGACCAAATGAATTTGTAGGAATTTAAAGGATTCCTTTGCTTATTATCTGTGAACCAAACATCATATTTGGAATTTGGTCAAATGATTAGAGATTTTAATTCCTTTCAATTCCACCAAATTCCCATGATCCAAACAGGTCCTAAATCGTATCCTAAATAAATTCGGAACACAACACTATTTGTATATATGTATTGTAAACTTATTCACGTGGTACGTATTTAACGGAGTTGGTTGGTGGTCGTTAGAAGTGATGACCAAATCTAAAGCAAACTAAAAAGTAGAGGAAAATGGTATAATGTTAAATTGTAGGGACAATACCAGAGTTTCCCTAAACCATAAGGACTAGAAATATAGTGTAAAAAGTAAAAGCAATTGTCTTCGTCTTTGCTTTTACAGCCTGCTGTTGGTTGGTAACATTTCACCATCTCCAAGGTTCATGATTTTGTATCTTTTTGTTTTCTATATATTTCATAGACCTTCTATCTAGGAATGCATAAAAACCCGATTAACCCAACGCAAAATAACTTAACTTGAAATAATCTGATGTTTAATTGAGTTGTAAAATTTTCAAACCGTAGGTATTGAGTTGATATTGGGTTACTATTATTTGAACCCAACCCAACCTGATGAACCCGAAATTCATTTATTTCTTGGATTTAATATGATTGAATTTCTATTAATATATAGACTAGACAATTACATTATCACGTACACTATTAATATACACATTTATCTTTATATAACTCATTCGTATATATGTTCAGTAACTGTAAACATATATACGTAAATTGAGAAAATTAATTGAATGTGATATACGTAAGAAGTATGGATAAGTTGCATCAAATGGTTGATGATGAAAAAGAAATTATGAGTAGAGAAATAACATATTCAAGGTTAGAAGAATATTTTAATGTACCAAAGTATCAACCCGACTAACCCGTACGCGTTTGGGTTGGGTTGGGTTAAATTTTTTCAAACCGCAAGCATTGGTAAGAGCGAGATAAGGACAAGAGTCTTACCCGGTAAGTTAGGGCAACGACTCTTATCATGATAAGCACTTACCAGATAAATTGTTGCATACGATACCGGTTTGGTGGATTAAAATCTTATCCGGAAAGTAAATTATAGTGTTAAATTTATCGGTAAGCGTTTACCGGGTAAATGTTTGATAAACGACCCCTATTATGTTAGATTAAATACAAGGGAGAGTCAAGAAATTTCAAGTTTTGTTTTTACTATTTTACCATTTGAATGTTTGTTTTGTTATTTTTTGCTTTCGGTGTTGTGGGAATCCAATTCTATAAATTTAAACATTTACAATGATGACGTGCTTCATTTCTTTTGAGAGTAAGTTTTAGCAGACCATTCAAGACTTGTGAATTTTTCATATTCCACTCTTCAGACATTCATTCCAATGGCTTCCAGTTCTTCCTCTTCTAGCATTGCTTCACCTTCGGCTAACTATGACATCTTTCTAAGCTTCAGAGGCGAAGATACTCGTCATTCTTTTGCCGATCATCTCTATGCCGCGTTAATCCGAGCAGGAATTTCCACTTTTAGGGATAATGATGAAATCAGTAGAGGTGAAGACCTCAAACCGGAAATCGAGACAGCAATCACAGCATCCAAGGGCTCGATAGTTGTATTGTCTAAGAATTATGCAACTTCAACATGGTGCCTCGATGAGCTTTGGTTGATCCTTGAGCGAAGGAGAGAGTTCGATCATTTCGTTCTACCGGTATTTTATCATGTTGATCCCTCTCATGTTAAAAAGCAAGATAATACTTTCAAGATACAAGTTAAAACCTCTTCAAAGTGGACGGATGATAACGTGAAACGATGGAGACAAGCCCTTACGAAGGTTGCCGAATTGTCAGGCTTGGTTCTTTCAGGGTATGCTTTTTTGTCCCAGCTTATAATTTAATTGGATTTCTTCTTTCCGAAAGGATATACGAAGGTCTTGTAAATGTGTCTCCTGAGTATTCCTTGATCATTTCTTCTATGAAGAGGCCTGAGTTCCTCAAATCTTGAATATCATTCAAATTTCTTAAGGTTTCAGAATGCTAGTATTCCTACCAAATTTAAACATACACTGGTAGACTGTAATTCACATTTGGAACACCTGATTGTTTTAGCATTATTTTCATTAGAACTTGTGAAACAAGTCTTGAATGCCATCAACTGAACTAGATCACTTACCTTGTTTTACAGGTCAGAAACAGAGTTTTTGAAGGAAATCATTGATAACGTTTACTATAAAGTTGGTCCCAAAATAGTTAATCTTCCACGCAATCTAACAGGGATGAATGCTCGAGATAAAGATATTAATTCCTGGTTAAAGCAATCCGACAGCAAATTTCTAATAATTTGTGGCATGGGAGGAAGTGGCAAGACCACGTTGGCCGAGTACATTGTCTCTTCAAATCGGCAACATTTTGAAATCATTAGCATTTTAAAAAACATGGGTAGTATACATCAAAAACAAGGTAATATTGATGTGTTAATCCAACAATTTGCCAAAGATATTGTAGGAGAGGGGAAACCCCAAACATTGTGCGAGCGCTATTACGTTGATAGAGTTTTAGAAAGGAAAAAGGCACTTATTGTTTTTGATGACATTGATGAACCAAGACCACTGGAAAAATTTATCAATTTCCAGAAAATTAATGAAAAAAGCAAAATTATAGTAACAACCAGGAACAATAATACGCATAATTGGTTTAGGACTAGAACTTGGAGTTGTCATGAGTATAAGATGACATTACTAGATGATGAAGAAGCACTAGAGCTCCTAAGTCTTCATGCCTTTGGATTCAAAATTCCGATGGACGGTTATGAGGAACTTACAAAAGAGGTGCTACAGTATTGTGAAGGAAATCCACTGGCTCTTGAAGTGTTGGGTTCCTCTCTATCAGAGGATATTAGCATCCTATTTTGGAGAAATACATTGGATTTATTGAAAAGAGAGATGAAATCTGGAATCCAACATGTACTCATAAAGAGCTATGACTCATTGCCAGATAAAAATAGCAAAGAGTTGTTTTTGCATATTGCTTGTTTCTTTGTTGGCCAAGACAAGGATTATGTGGAAAAAATATTGGAGCTTGATTATTGTGCATCATCTGGGATCAAAGTCCTAACCAATAGATGTCTTCTTTCTGTGTCACCAAACAACAAACTGATGGTGCATCAATTGATTCAAGAGATGGGGAAAAGCATAATCAGTGAAGAATCAAAACGCCCTGTAGAACGTAGTAGAGTTTGGCGTAGTATTGAATCTTACAAGATCTTGCACAAAGGAGAGGTAAGATGTTTCTTGTGTTGATGTTTAAGCTTATATTTCCTTTCCCACCCTCCTATTTCATCTAAGATTCTATAAATTCCTCTAATTCCTGTTTAGGGTTCCAAAACAATGGAAGGTCTAGCACTTGATATGCAAGTTTTGCGGGATGATAATCCACAAATTTTGACGGTAAAAATTCATATTCTCTCTCTTATTTTAGATTATACTCTTTTTATGATCAACACTCGCTATGTTATCTTTCGGTCCCAATCCGTTCTTTAGAGTGCCTTAATACAAGAAGTAGTTTCTTAATTTCTAGATCTGATGTACGCTTACTTGCTCTCTTCCATGTTAAATTTGCAGTCTTTAGATCTTAAGACAGATTCACTTACAAAAATGGATAACCTAAAATTGCTCCACCTAAATGATGTGCATCTCACTGGATCCTACGAGRATTTTTCAGAAGATTTAAGATGGCTATGCTGGCGTCAGTTCGATCTAAGAGCCATACCCTTTGGCTTATTCTTCAAAAGCTTGGTGGCTATAGATATGCGAGATAGCAAGTTGAAAGTATTTGAACCGCCAATTGTACGAAATTTGACATCYTCTTTTTTATGCAKATTTATAGTGTGTGCAAAATAATTCTTGTTACTCTTGCAACAGGTTCTTCCATTACTCAAGACTCTAAATCTTCAATCCTCCGAGTCTCTGTCCGCAATCCGCAGTATCTACCGACTCCCTAATATTGAGACTTTGATTCTTTGTCAATGTTATGAACTAGTTGATATTTGTGAAACCATTGGAGACTTAATGAATCTTGCTCAATTGGACATGTCAGAGTGTCCACAGGCACAGCTCTATGAAAAATTGATTTTGCAATCTACTGGAGCAAGTCCACTACTAATTTTCTTTTCTTTGCCACATTCTTTAGTGTGGTTATCCCTTAGAGACTGCACCCTTGATGTTACTAAACATTTTTCTCCGAGTTCCAGCATTCAACCAAAATTGCAGTACCTGGATTTAGGCAGATGTTGGTTTGAAAGCTTGACCAGCAACAATCATCTTGTAAATCTTAGGGTCCTTAACTTGTCTTTAAGCCATAGACTTAAATGGCTTCTCTGTCTTCCAAGTGCACTTGCAGAATTGTATGTATATGATTGTCACTCGCTAGAGAAAATAACTTTTGAATCACATCGGTTCACACTGCATGAGTTTGGCTATGAAAATTGTGCTCAGTTGAGTGAAGTGGAAGACTTCTTTAAATTGGTGCCGGTAGCCAGACTTGATGAAACTGATTTGGGACACTTRAAGTGGCTAAAGAAATATCAACATCATGAGGTGTTCCTGGTTGGTGATGATCAGATCATCGAAAACAGAAGTCAAAGGATCCAGGTTCTCTATTTTTTTCTGAATCACATGCATAAGCACACACAAGCACATCGACATGCCACCTGAACTAATTATATATGTGTGACTGAACCCTATTGTTTGTGGCACAGATGCTGTATGAATTCGGTATTGTGAGCACGTGCCTGCCAGACATAAAGGATCCAAACATAACACCTGAGCATATATCAGAATCAACATCTCTGTCCTTCGAGGTGCCTTCATCTCCTATGGATAGGAGGCTCATAGGATTAAATCTAACTTTCAAGTATACAATATTATCAGGTCAAGACTRTGCATGGTTTGCTAAAATCCATACCAACAATGGTGTTGATTTGATGTACAATCCCAAAGTCTGTRGCGATCCTGGAGATGGAGGAGCTGGCATATGGTTAAGTTATTGGCCAATAGGAAGCAAGTTATTAGTGGGAGATAAAGTTAATGTGTCTGTCATTGTGATGGGTGGTATATCGAAGATACATGAGTGTGGTGCAAGCCTTGTGTATGCGGATGCTGATGAAACCATGGGAATTAACATGCCATGGATAGAAACTCTTGGAGGGGATTTGTCTGCATTTAAACTAATTACAGGAGCATACTATCTTTGTCGGCGTGATTTTTTCAAGTTAATGGAGGTTGGCAGATTGGCACCAGGTTGGCTCACTATTTTAGTCGGTGATACCATTGATGATAGAGGTATGTTATTCTTTTCAAGCTAATTATCAGCTTTCGCAATTGAATTTAATCTCCAAATCTCATATCACATATTGCTACAGAGGTACGAGGATGGAGAATGACCGGTCGACCTAAGCCGCCATTTAACCCATCACAAACAAAGTTGTACCCATCATTTGACCCACCACGATTAGAGTTGTCACTTTTGCCAGGCTCACTACGCACAGAGGTGCCAGACTCATTATTTACAAAGTCGAAGAAGTTTTGTCGAAGGTTCTGAGACGATAATTATGCTCTGTATTTTTTCTTTCTTTTTGCATGAATTGGTTACTAGAACAAGATGTGATGTGAGGGCCTATATATATATATAGGGTTTATTTCAAATACAACCTATTGCATTTGTACAACAATGCAACCCAATAAATTAAAATATTTATGGAAATTATTAGAGTTCATTTATTATGATTTAAATATTTATGGAAGATGAATACGGATCATTAATTATGATTAATACTTTATATTAGGAAATAATCAAAACCTATATAAAATCACATATTAATCAAATGAAATGGACGGTTAAGATTGGGTTGTATTGGTTGCACAAATAACAAGAGTTGTATAATAACCAACCTCTATATA